CTATTACTGCTAAACAATTTCGCCTAAAATATGTAGTCAGGACATGCATGTATTTTTTAATTACGGTAACCACGGAGTAGTACAAAATACGAAACAATGATTTAAACTACAAAAAGAAACATTTTTAGTAATAAAAGGAAAATTTTCACAAATAAAAGGAACATTATTAATAATAATTAGAAACATTTTTGAATATATTTAAAATGTTCCTTTCTAGGAGTTACCGTTGTCTTTTATCAGTTTTACTTTGTATTTTTAAAAACCTTGATATAAATATAATAAAGCGAGAATCCGTTGACGGATGCGGCTGCTCTCTCAGTGCGGGCTACGTACTCAATCTGTGGTTGTTTTCATTCGAGATGTATAACTCCCAAAGCCAAAGGATTCATTTAGATCGAAACAGAGACAGTTAAAGGATTCATTTAGATCGAAACAACTTAATAATTAATACCTTTTAGCGCAATTACAAAATTCTTTCTAAGCTCAATTGAGCCGAAGGAGAGAGAAAAACATTCTGAATACGTGCAATGTATTCCAGTCTTCACACCACTACCACCACCACCACCACGTGATTTTGGATTACAAGAATAAGGGCCAGCAAAGCCAACAGTCTGAGTTTGCCAAAAATTGCCTTCGAATTACGTGTCGTGACGTCACTTGCGGGGGTTTAACAGCTTCAGCAGTGGGCATGCTGTCGCCATAATCTCGATGATTACGCCCTGGGTCAATTATGCGTACCTCCACAAGAAACAATTATGTGCTTGAAGCGCAGATGCAGACATTTCCCACTTGGCATAGAATGCCACATTATTTATTAACTAATTAGTAATTATTTATCCACCTTTTTCAACAGCATTTTTTTATTATCACCACACCAATCATTATCTACCCTGGATTCCAGAGCCTTCGACAGTAAATAATAAATTGAAATGTCGCAAAGGCTCTGGTTCAACGGGGCGATTCTTTGATTAAACCGCGCCAATCACAAAACAGAATTAGTGGTTTTAGTACAGAATCTGTACTAAAACCACTAATTCTGTTTTGTGATTGGCGCGGTTTAATCAAAGAATCGCCCCGTTAAACCAGAGCCTTCGCGACATTTCAATTTATTATTTACTGTCGAAGGCTCTGGAATCCAGGGTAGGGTTGTGTCTGTTATGTCTAATTTGTATTTAGTGCAATAGCTAAATGATCTTAATTTGTAATTATACTCTGTTTTGTGTGCCACTTTATACCAACGTTATTTAACAATTATTGAATGAGGTTGAGCACGATATGAAGAATTATCCAGCCCCAAGTTTGCCGTTACCAACCGAAGCTAAAGGCTGAGGTTGATAACGGACAACTGAGGAATTGATAATTCTTCATATTGTGCGAAAATCGAATTCAATAATTGTTTTATTACTTATATTTAAAAATTCGAAACAAACATTTGTATTTTATTTGTATTAAGAACAACAAGTCCTTAGTCCTTCGGCAGCCGTCGTTGCGTCATATCAATGGCGTCAGCGAGTCAATATGATTCTCGTCGTCATAGTAGTAATATGGCGTAAACGCGTCCAAATTTTTTTCATATTGACTCTTTGACGTCATTTTGCTAATATGAATGTGAAAAATCCGTATTTGGTTAGTCATTGAGTTGATATGTCAATTTCACAGTTGGCTGCTAGCCAATCAGGAACCAGGAATTTTTTAAATAAATAATAATATACCGTAAAGTCTCGCAAGTAAGCGCCCCTTGAAAGTAAGCGCCTTTTTCAACACTTGCTAGAGAATCTGGAAAGTAGGCGCCCTTCGAAAGTAAGCGTCCCCTCAAAAATAAGCGCCCCTTGAGGCCACTAATTTCGAAATTAAGCAGGGCGCTTACTTTCGAGACTTTACGGTATTACTGTTAGATATCGGTCATATCTAAGTAAAACCTTTCAAATTAAAGAAACTCTCTAAACCATACGTATACCATATATACTCCATAGCATGGATTTAAAAATGACCGATGCTGAAAATAACAACTCAAAAGTAGGCACTCCTCGAAAGTAAGCGCCCCCTCAAAAGTAAGCGCCCCTTGAGGCCACTAGTTTCGAAGCACGGCGTTTACTTTCGAGACTTTACGGTAACTTATAACCACCCATCTGATCAGTTTATTATTTATGTAGATTTAAAGTACTTTTTATAAGTAACAGCATGGTAGGTTCGCGGATTCCGCAAACCAGCCTCGGGTTACGGGGTCATTTAATCACTAATCTGTCAAAAAGCCATGCTATTAGTTTGTAATAGCATAGTTGAGTTGCCATCCGAAAATGGACAAACATGCCCTACTTGCAATCAGCGAATTGATTGAATCTAAAACATTTGCTTCTTTGCTTGTGGGATGTAAAAGCTTGTTGCACATGGGCACTTTACGCTTTAATCGGTTACGTATACACAATCTATCATTTAAAGTACCACAACAAAAACGATAAATATATTAATATAAAATAGGAGACTGCACGAGCGTAATTTAAGTGGTGCAACAACTCAGGTATCGGATGATAGAGTGATAGACTATTGCCAGCTCTGAGCTAACTGTTGCTTTTCTTTGCGCGATTATGTGCGTGTGAGGCACTTGCCTAATGCGTATTCGGCAGTGAGACAAAGTGTGTGACCCTTGCCAACGGGCGATTAGAACTAATCGACCCTCTTGAAACAAAAGAAACCCGCGCAACTATGCCACAGAATAGAGACATACAGATGACCGTTGTAAACACCGCGGAAGATTACGTTATCATGTACCACTTTTTTCAGGCGATCGGGCGAAAAATGATCAACTGTGCATGCTCACGTCACTTATAACTCATCTCGCTCAACTTGCCGAGCATGCGCACAAAAAAGTGGGTACACTTGTTACGTCTCTGTATATCTCTCCCGTGTGACTATGCTGTTATAAGAATAAACGTCTAAACTGAGAAAATCAAAGCTAAAGTTTATTTACCATTAAATGATATTGACTATCTAGGGAAAAGATTTGATATATTGACCAAGTGGTAGAAAAAGCTATACCTCCAGCAAGTCTGGGGCTTGCTTGCATGCTTTTTGCTATTCTTGTATTGCCGTATTTCCATTTGATTTTTTGGTCCAAAATTAACCCAGCTTAATTACGTGAGAAAATAATTTGAATTAATGACGGACGAAATTTCAACGGGCCTTTTTGGATTCCCGATTTTCGACACGTTATATGGCAGGCAGGCCTCGAAATAAGTGCCGGTCACCGGTCACTGACCGGTAAAATTTCACAGTTTGACCGGCAAATATCGTTGCCTGGCGGACATGCGTGACCGGTAATTTTTTAATAAAAAAGTACGTTCAAAAATGGAAGATTGTTGATTTCCAAGTTTCCAAAGAAGTGTATGTCCGTCTAGGGTGTAGGCTAATAACGGCGGCGAAGTGACACATTTTGTTTTTCCACTTCAAGCGTACCGTACCGAAACGTATCGAAAACGTTTTTCAATTTCAAAATTTCGTGAATGTCAATTGGTTAGTACTTCCGTAATACGGCAACGACGAACTTTTTATTTTGATACGCCAATACATCCGGAAGTACGTGGATTTATAAACCTCTTTTCAATCTGCGCATGCTCACCAGTACGTTTCGATAGGATGCGGGTGAAGTGGAAAACCGGCTTTAAGGGCTGTTTTCCAGTTACGCGTTTTTCACACGTGCAACGGAAAAGTTTAAATCTTTCATATAAGTGCAAATAACCTTAACAAATACACATTAAATCATACACAAAGCTGAATGCTCATGTCCCTTTATAAATTTAGTTATTTCATAAGTAGGATGTAAAGCGACTTCAACTTGTATACGTGCGTGAAAACGCGTAACTGGAATGCAGCCTTGCAGCATGCTCGCAACTCAAATTACAGTTGTCATTTGCGACTTAACATGCAAGCATGGCAAACAATTGCTCTTTTTGTCAGCTTTCAAATACGAAATATTAATGTGTAAATTGCGCTGTGATTACTACTACAGCTTTGATAAACGCCATGCATATATGCTTCTAAGTATTTGTATACAAATACACAGTTAAAATGCGCAATTAATTGTTTCTATAAAATTACGAGTCACGCGAAAGATGAGGGGGAAAAAGAAGCTAAGGAGTGACAATGACCGGCATAAATTCCGCTGTGACCGGAAAATTTAGTGATCCACCGGTCATAATGACCGGTATAACGTCCAGATTTATTTCGAGGCCTGATGGCCCTTCGTCTTTCGCTCACATTTCTAAATATCACCGCCCGAAAATATATCCGGAAAAGGGCATGCGGAGGAGGTAGATGTAAATGAGTAGTGATTTCCTTTGTCTTTTTCCTTATGAAATGATTAATGAGGTTTTAAGATATATTTCAAAATACACATTAATAATTCATGAGGAAAATGCACAAATAAATCGTGTTCTATCTTTGATTTACATAATCTTTAACTTTGATTTTCTCAACTTACGCAACGTATTTTTTGAAAATTACTTCACCGATGAACTTTTAGTATATACGTTATACGAACTTTACTGCGCGTGTTTTATCAGACCTAAAGATACTCGGCTTCGCCTCGTATCTTTATGTCTGATAAAACATTGCTGCTTATGTTTTAAATAGTGCATAACAATTTGTCTTGCTCTTTTGTGTTATGAGTTTCGGCTTTTTTGTGTTATGTATAATTTGTTCAGAACAATTGTTTTATAGGTTTTCCACAAGTTTCATCTGTTTCACCAAAACAGCGTGGTTGGGGCAGGCCAAAACATCCGCCATTTTGTGGAGACAAAATTTTTATTGAGAAAAGATAGGAGTTCGTATTCTGTATCAATTAAATCCTATGTGTAAGAACCATACAATATGGAATAAATTAACACACCCTTTCGATAATTACGTCAGAAATGCCTCCTGGTTCTATTAAGTAAGGCATCGCTATTAAATAAGGCAACCAATTTACTTAAACTTAAATTGACTAATCCCCAGTTTATTTACTTTTCCACAGTTGATATGTGATGCTGTGGTTGCAGCTGCGGGAAAACTACATCAGTCGCTGTATGAAAATGATGACGTTGAATTGGATATTCCTTTAATTCATTTTACCTACTCCTTAATCCAAGCCCGTTTGGTAAACTTTTCTGAACTTGTTCATGCTTTTCCTAATCTGGTTCAAACAATATCGACAAAATATGATCAATTGAATGTTGAGGAAATGGTTAGTATTACCTATTATAGTAAAACAATAACGAAATCTAATTCCTTTTTATAACATGATCGGTTAACCTGTTGGTGACGTGACCTACTTCCCCTCTTTCTGGCTAGATGCATGTACTTTTGAGCTGGTGTCTATACAGCTGGTGTCTTTAAAAGTTTTGATATTTGATTTAATGAAAATTGTAGAAAAAACCTTATAAAATTATTTATAAATTGATAATTTTGTAATTAAAAGTCATATGTTATTTAAGGGGATTTTTTAATTTTAAAAGTATTCTTAAATTCTTAATACAATTATTGTGTTACCATGACAACTACTTTAAATACTTTATCTTCGAGGAATCTAACGGTTTTGCAACAAGGCGAGAGGTTTCTCTATGCATGTATAATAACTAGTTCTAGTTGCAAGAAATGTTTGTTATTTTGCTGTCGTCATGCAGTCGTTATGATGCAGATTTTAAACTTGACTAATCAATGTTGCTATACACGTCAGTCAGCTTTATTTTGAGATCAGTGAGGATGACCACACACCAAACAGTAAACGGTAAAAACGGTAAACTTGGCAAAAATAGCCTGGCGGAATTAGTACCCTCGCCCCGGGCTTACGCCCGCAACAGCGCTCGGTACTGTTGGCTTGGGATAAAAAGTACAAATTATCATATTATATGTTTCAAGTCTGGCCCCTGACTCAAACAAGGTACAATATTTTGGTGTTTCTAAAATAATCTTAATTCCTGAAGCCAAACAGCTAACATTTGAGAGACAGCCGTTTTACCGAGGATTTATGACCATTTTCGTGCAATGCCAACGTATTCTTATAAGCATCATTAAACCACGAACCTTTTGCTACATATTTTGTTGCTCATTTAAATCAAGTTTCAGCACTTGGATTTCTAGTTTTAAAGATCAGGTAAAGGTCTTAAATAAAGAGTCCTAATAAAATTTATATTTAGAATATTATATAAAAACATAAGAAATGGCCTGAGAGTTATCGTACATTATAAACAACATATTTGTTGAAAGTTTGTTGTTTACTACATGTATATGTGGAGTTCTTTTTGTTAATTGGTGTACAGCATTCTTGAATTGACTCAGGGTATTCTTATATCTGTCCAGAGAGCCTACGCCTATGTTATAATACTATAATACTAAACTTGGCAATTTTACTGATGATGACGTGCTCTTAAGGTGTGGTGTTTAGATCCCTGCTTTTCTAAAAATTTGAATAAAGCTTAAATTGTAAGACGGCCTAAGTCGGGAATTCACTTCATGATTCTGATGCTTTATTACATCCTTTGTTTATTTCATTGTTCATTTGCAATACTTGCAGAGTCTGGATTTGATGGCACTTGAGTGTTGCTTGGAGCAATTGGAACCAAAACCTAAAGATCTGAGAAATGCTGATAATAGATTGATTTGGTGTAACCGAGTTCAATGCATTCGTCCTATCATACAAGTTATGATAACTTTAATTCCAAGACCGTCGCAACAACAGACAGGAAATGGTGACAGTGAGGCTTGGTTTCATGCTCAACTTTTTGGAGAAAAATTTACATCTTTTTTACAAAACTGCAGGTATGTACTTATCGTATACGGCCATCGTACAAATGGCCCCTCCGTGACGCATCGTTGTTTCTTGAGTGGGGTGTTTTTGAATACCTAAGGGTGCACAGCTATTCACCATACACACTTGTGAATTTACGACCTGTAGTACAAAAAAGTGTTCATGGGCTCAACTAATTAAAATAGACCAAAAATATGAGCGGCAATCATGTTTCCACCACAAAAGTATCTTCATCTTGCTGGCAGATGGCATCATCCTTCAAGTATATAACGCTGCGACTTCAGATCACCCCTGACGACGACACTGAGCTGGAGTCTCGAAAGGTTGAATCGTGAACGAATCTCGACTTGGCATTGCATTTATTTATTTGAAAACCATGGTAGCGAGTGAGAACATGACAGATATAGTGCATAATGATCTTGGCCAATGTCTGCTTTAAACTGATGAGAGCCAATTTATCTACACTACTGCAATCATAGTTATCAATCTAAGCACATGATTATTTGCAAGTCTGCCAAGGAGAAGATAGAAAACTACATTGATATACCTTAGAAATAATAACTATTTATTCATGGATAGGCCATTTCAATATATACACGCCCCAATAGTAGTACGTCAAGGAAGTGACATCATCTGATTTCTAATAGATCATAGGTCTTATTTAATGGCAGATTAAACGTATATTGTTATATTATAAATTATGGAGACTTTGTTTGCGGTCATGTTTGTTCAAACGTTATAGCTCAACGGATGTATAAAAATCGAACCTTTTGTCGAGCGGTATACTGTATTCCAATCGTCTAAGCATTACGTCTAAGTGTTTTCCAACTTATTATAAACGGACATTGCTTGTTCCCTGGATAGATACTATATCGTATTTCTTTTTATAGAACCACGTGGATTCGTCTAGATGTTGTACGCATGTTTATTGAACACACATGTCCACCCGGACAGTCGACCCATCCAGCAGATGCAGAGAACGCTTTTCTACTGTCGAAGGTGAAATCTAATACTATTGTCTTTGCTTTGGAAACACTAGAGTAGAAATAATAACTGCATTAACACAAAAGAAAACGTTACGGTACTTTTCGAAATGGTTGATGTGAAAATGTAGAAATGAATAAGTAAACTATTGAAATTGTTGCATGCACAAAATTTGCGCAATGAAAAAATAACATAACGTTTCGATGTTAGAAAAAGCCATTAGACAATTCGCGGAATTAGTGACGCTCACACTCAATTGCAGATTAATAAACACAAGCTACTCAAGTTAAAATTGCGTCTGCATAATTTGTATTCATTCATCATAGTCGGGTAAAACTTCGGCATACATATTGGGTACACGTTTTAAATTGAACGATAATTTAATTTCTAAAGAACGAAACCATATCATTGTTCTGATCACAAATACAATAGACTTTTGCAAAATGACGTCACAAGGCTTGATGCTCGCGAGGAATGCTGGTCCCAGTAGTCATCGCCCGGGAAAATTAAACAATTCAAAATGGCCACTATCGAAAATTTTCCGGGCGATGACTTCCAAGATCAGCATTCCTCACAGGCATCAAGCCTTGTAGTGTCATAATGCATAAGGTCTATTGTTAAATGGTACAATATCTTTTCCAGAATTTTCCTGTGAGCAACGTTATTCTGTACACTGACGTCAATCTCATTGATTACCCCCATGAAAATTATATGGCTGCCACATATATTGTGCTAGATGCGTAAAGGTTAAAGGCCCTGTCACACTATTGCGTATCGTACTAGCGTATGAAAAATATCACTCATACGCCGGTATACGCTCACATATGCTAGGGGTACGTTAGGGATAGGTTGTATACGTTTCAAGCACGGTCGCATACGGTGGCATACGCTGGCATACGGCGAGGCAGAATTTTTTTTAAGCATGTTCAAAAATTTTGTGCGTATCGGATGTATGGCTTTATACGATAAGCATACTCTAGGCACACGCTGAATACGCTAGAGGTACGCCAGATGTACGGTACGCATACGCTGGCATTTCAAAGGATTTATGTGCGTATGAAAATTATTTCATTAATTTTCATACGCTTCTCATACGTTTCTCTCGTACGCAATAGTGTGACAGGGCCTTTATAAATACAACAGTTTAGAGCATTTTCTGGACATATCTGTCCAGGTGTATCTGTCCCGATGCCACCTGTTGAGATTTCTACAACAATAGTTGTTAAAAGGGCCCTGCAGTCATTTTTTAATCGAAAAGCCACCTCAAGTATTGTTTACAAATTTTTGGTATTGTCGCTACTTGACATGCGCGCCACGGCATGCATGTGTCTTTCGGTGTGCGGAAGTACTCATATTCATGGATACTACATGTAAGATACAGCCAAACGAATCTCCGTGGAGACCCCTACTTAAGGTGGCTTTTTGACTAAAAAATTACTGTAGGGCCCCTTTGAAATATTGTATAATATGCACACCAACAAGATTTTATTTAATTTTACAGGTTTTAGGAGAAAATACTGATTTTTCAACTGTCCGTACTATGACGGTCATTGAGAAATTCCTAAAGCGTTGCAGCGATGAAATGAGGGAACGATTAATCAGGTATAGCTACTAAATTCTTAACGTAAAAATGTGCAAAAATATCTGGAAAGCAGACAGAAAAACACGATACCTCATACTATAACAACCACGTATCCGGGCTATTTTCTCTCACACTGTGGTGACAAGGCAAATTAAGATCTTGGGTACGAGGTTGATAATATGCAGGCGTGGATTCAGACTCTGTATTTCATGATTATTTGAATATTCTCGTGCGGGACGAACATGTATGGGATTTCTTAAAAAGAACATGGCTAGAAATGAAGGACAGTCAGCGCCACGCATCGCGGGCGTCGAATTTAGGGAAACTATGCACCCGCGAGACACAGCGCTGACTAAGGAATGATAAAATTGATTCACATGAGTGAATATATATGGCATTTTATGCCTTTTATCAAGTCTTTTATGAATATTGAATATGTCTTTTTATCATTTGTTGCGTAATTTGAGTACGGTCGACTTTTAAGCACAAGTGACGTCTCGTATTTCCACAGCAAAATATATATTGTAAATATTTTCCAATTTTCGCGCTATTTTGAGCCACTGTGTATCTTCTTTAATCGGCCAGCGGCTATTAGCATCAATGTTTACAAAATGGCGTAAAAGCCACAGTTGTACGGACGAAATTTTGGGAAATTTCGCAGCTGTTCTTCACTACAAGCTCTACGGTTGTGAGAATTTAAGCTTGCAGTTTGTTAAAAAACAGACGATTTTAAAACCATTTGGCCGTACGAATACAAGCTAAGGAGCTTCTAAAGCAACGCAAAATGACAGTTTGAACATCGTATAGGAAATATAGACGTGGGCATTTTGTCTGACTTCTTCTCGAACGAAACTATACCGGACTGAACATAGCACCTAAACTCGGATTTCGCCGTTTTAATGGAGTTTACAGCAGAAAATATCGGCAAATGGGGTCACTCGGGCCGGCTAATAGCAAATCGTGAGACGTCGAGAGTTTGCAAGACAACGCTATTAAGGTATTTTATAGATTTGTAGACGTGGGCAACTTGAAAATTTTACACTCTTTCTTTATGCGCATCGATTTTATATGTTTATACTATTAACGCTCTATATTTCCGCCATCTTGAATTCATAAAATTTGTTAGATCTGCGCATATTTTGACAAAGCGAGCCGCCATACTGTCCTTTATTTCTAGCCATGCTTGATATTAAACTCTATAGCTCAGAAGAACAAATTTGGCATCCCATATTAATTAGTAAAAGTTTCCACTAAAGACTGTTTTCAGTACGTGTAGCGTAGGCTCTTACGCTAAGCTGAGAAAGGCTTGACCAAAACGTTTAATATGCTTTTTTAGATTTGACATCAGTCAGTGTGAAATTTGTAAGAATCCTCTCCAAGATCCTGTTGAAATGCCATGCGAGCATATATGCTGTATGTCTTGCGCAAACGATTGGTTTCACGAGCATGATGTATGTCCCATATGCAGAGAAGAAGTTGGTGTTGACTTTAAAGTTGAAATCAGCGAAAAGTGCAGGTAAAGTGGATTACTGGGGTTTATTATTGCTTTCCCAATGCAATTAGTAACTATCACATATCTTCTCGGACATCCTCATACGCGCTTTCTGAGCCAGGCTGTAAATCGCTTTTGCACTGGTTGGGGGGAAACTCCAGTTTTCCTACATACCATTGACACACCAGATTCTGGTAACTGCTTTTGCGAAGCCCTTCACACGACGAACTACATCAATGAATCCTACGAATTGCAAGGGCTGAAACCCTTGACATTTCTCACGCCCCGACTTTTCGTTTTACGACCACCTGCTACGGTTGGATTACATGCACAACAGCGATTAACCATCATGGTGTACATATTTAATCCATAATTTGTATGATTTAACCGATGATGATATGATTTCAGTTTTTGTGGTTCAACATATTTTTATTGTGGTTTTGAGTCAATTTAATTAAAGTGCACATGACACAAAACTTCTCTCAATTTGTTTATGCATCACATGAAAAATCTTGAAATTGATTAAGAATGGCCTTAGTAATTTATTCACATCTTATCCACTTCCCAGGTTGTCAGACATTTTGTAATTGTGTTATTACTGTACGTCACTGCACTATTAATTTCAAGGTGTTAATTTAACTGCCAGTAGAGTTCGTAGAATAACTGTTAAATATAGTGCATATTTTAAAAACTATATATACCACTTTTTAAATAACATTCTTAATGCGGATTTGCATGAAAAATTTCTAGATTTTTAGTAGGTAACAATGGGTTTAATTTTTTTTAAAGATGTGCTCTTGAGATCTACAACAGTTTTCGTAACCGCTGCAAGTCATTTTTTATGGAGCTTGTGTCTGTGTATTGCTTTGGAGAGCAGTTGCCAAATCCAGAACTAGTTCGAAAATTCATTGGCTACGTGATCAAAGATGAAAATGAAACTGAAGATTTTACACCGTTTGATGGACAAGGAATTGATGTCACGCCTGTTATCAGATCTTATATTTTGCAGCAACTTCTAGCAATAAAGGATGGGTATATGTTGTTAGCACTTGTTTGTTGAATTGCTATAGATTTGTTGAATATTACTAACTGACATGATGCAATTATCTCAACTAGTGCCGCGACCAACTCTTACACTTTTTCGTCTTCTCCGAACTGCGCTCGATAACTCGATTGGGCACGCCAAATACTAAAGATAAACAATAAAACAAACTACAGTGCCTTGTTTATTTTGGGCTTAATGTTTCTTGCCAGTCCTTTTATCTCAGCATTTTTGGTCGTATGAGTTTTGTTATTATTTTCATGAATTAAAATAAAAAATTGATTCACTTCTTTACTCCTTTTTGAACAATTTGTTAACATGATTTTTTATATCTCGCCAATTCCACTCCAAACTCCATAATCTACTCCTGAACGTCTTATGGCCTGTTAGAGAGGAAATATTTCGACAAGTTTCCAAGCGAGATCTCGCCTTGGTATGAAAATAATAATTATGAAAAGTTACAGTGCGTTCATATGAGACAACAAGTTTTCCCGCTTGTTGACAGGCGAGATCTCGCTTGTTGACAGGTGAGATCTTGGTGACCGGGATAATGATTTGGCTGGTCGGAAGGTTTTCTCGTTAATCGGGTTAACTTTTGCCCATATGAACAGGCCCTTAGCTATTTTTGATATGACCAACCAATTAATCATGAAAAATAGCTGTGCGTATTCCGTGATCATTTATTAACTGTTGAACTGCTATATAGCTGTTCGTATTTCTGTGTGGACATAGCCAAGCGGATTATTATTCACCCCCGGGTTATCACCCGGAGCCAATGTCGCGTAGCAAATTTTCTATAGTCCAATTTATTTTTTAATAAATTAATGATCCGAATATTGCAAACATATTTTTCAGAGAAAAAGAAGTATACAAACATTTAGAAGAATATCTTCATCGTGCAAGTGGTTTAGCAGAACAAAGAGAACATTTTATTGAAGTTTGCGTATTGTGTGTGCAGTGTATGGAGGTATCCAGATAAATTATATATTTTTTACGTAAACAAAATTAATATAATATAGTCATTCACCCATGCATTAATTCTTATGCAGTGAGCAGCATACGATGGTGACACAAAAGCTACAAGAGTTTCGAAAATCAGAAGACAAAAAATAATTGCTTTAAAAGGGGTAAAAACGCATCGTGGAACTTCCCAAAAAATTGGACAGGTGGCAAATACCTTTTATGTATAGAAACTAGTTTAAATATTCGCTTTTTCAAAAAATAATACAGAAAGAGCAACTGAAAAGCGCGTTAATGCAGGGACTTGGGAATATTAATTATTTGGAGAAAATTGCAACGAAAAACAAATACATTTGCAATCAGCAAGGACTTACTCTACTACAAAACATCGACGTCAAATATTTCAATGTTTTCTGGAGCCAATACTGCTAAAACCAATGATTTTACTGTAAGTTTCAAGCATCCCTGCATGCAATTGTAAATCGCAGTCATAATCATAGATCTTATCTGTTGCCATTTTGTGTAGAAAAACATTTACGAGCATTAATAGCAGAAGGCATTCTAATCCGATTATATCAGTTGCTCATTATCTTATAGTAAATGCATGGTTTAATTTGTGACTAGATAGATAGCAACCGGCCAGTTTCAATTTTTGTAAGATAAACCGATTCTACCCAAACCTCTCCTTAACCCCAAAGCTAGTCCCAAACCTTTTAGATTGTTTCTTTTTACACATTTACCGCGGTTAAGTTTAAAAAGTCGGAAAAGTCAGACACTTTTTTAAATTAAAATTTGCAGTCAATGCCATCACAATTTTTTTTATATTAAGAAGGGAATGTCAGTTAAATGACTGGCAGCTTTACTCAACAGCGGACTATCTTGTAACTGTATATATAAATTAGTATAGGTATTCACATGGGAAAGAATGCAATTAATGATTAGCAAAACGAGTAATATTTGAAAAATGTGTCAAAATTGCACGAGTCGCCGGGGCGAGTCACTATTATTTATTTATTATATGCAAGCAAATATTTTCTAAGCAATTTGGCATTAACAAACTTGGGGAATGATCAATTAAGGCACATAATTTAAACTAGAACACATGCATGATTCTAACTCAAAGAGCATTATTTTAGAATATAAGAGAATCCTGATATAAAATCGTATTACAGATTTGCATGATAAAACTAACAGTGACCAGATTAATTCTGCAGCGAGATATTGCACCTCTTTTACTTTACATTGCTCTTTTTGTACAACATTAACAAGCAGGGATAACGGCAAATTTAACTTTTGCTGGCTTTGAGTTTATGAAATTTAGCTTTATCAAACTTCGTTGAATCGTTTTTCTTTAATATTGATTTCTTTATCTAGGATGTACAAACAGTGAAATTATTGAAAGCGAAGGAAGGTGGGGCAAATGTACAAATCTTATTGGCAAGCAGAGAGTTGGCAAGAACGTTACGTACGATTCATATTCACCAAAACTCATTGACTACCAATTGTCTCAAAGATATCGCTGGAATAAGGGCTGCATTGGATGTCCTTTCTACGTATTTAGGCGACGATTTTGCTGAAAATGTTAAGCGTTTTGATGCCCTTCCAAAGTGCCTTGAAACAGCAAAACACCTGTGTAGTAATTCAAGTCGATCTGCTTTGCAGTTATTTTTATTGAAACAATTAGTTCGCCATGACCCCAATGGGATTGAAGCTGTTAAGGAAAGATGTAAAACAAAGGACCTTAAATGGATTATGCCGCCACAGTTTGAGGTAATACAATTTTTCTAATGGTTCTAAACACCTGTCAAGTGCTCTCGTTTAATACATACAATTTGAAACATAAGCTGCATGATCTCACTGTTTATTTCAATGCAGTGCGTGTAAATTTCTAAAACGAACAGTCGTGAAGATCGGCAAACGATCCGACCTGAGTTTTTTACATTAATCTATAGCATTTATTTCTGAGTAGTCTGTTCAGGCAGTGCTATATGATGTCATTTAGTCACAGTGGGAAAATGCGCCTGCCAAAGCTGCTGTGATTAAACCGATGCTATGTTTATGAAAGTCTGTATGTCATCAAACAATTGTATTTCAATTAATTGAAATGATTGTATTTCAATTAATTGAAATGTCATTTTTCTTGAGCGTTTTCTTAAATTGATTGTACAACAGTATTGTTAAAATTTTCTACTCTTCAACAGCTTCGACATAAGCAAAAAAATCAACTTAATACTCAAATATTAATTTACATTGATAAGCCCGAATATGATTAGATTAGAATGTATTTTTCGTAGGCTATGCAATTAAGCACTATACAGGTGCATAAATGTCCAATTATCCCATCGGAAAGCGTTTTATCAGACGTATAAATTAACATTTAATGTTTGCATGTTCTTTAATGTTCAGAAATGATTTAAATTACTGTCTCTCCAATCAAACTTTATCGAGCTTCTGTTATACTATTTTTTTTAGGAGCAAGATAAAACTCCGGACACTTTCATAGTTCATCATGAAAATTATCACACTGTGCGAGAGGCTCTTGGCAAAGCAATACTTACATCTAACATCGATGACTTAAATCTAGTCATTCAAGTGAGTTATTTTGTATAGATTGATTTACATCGCTAGAAATTGCGACATTTGAATCCCAAAACATCCCTTACGTCTATGCCCCTTATTACCCCCTTTTGACCCCCAGAATTTTTTATTCTAAATATAACTATAAAAGGATAAGGTTACAAAACAATTGTAAACAAGCTAAAAGGATTACATGCAAAATGTAAACAAATAATAAATAGAAAGAGCTTTTGAATGATATATTTTGGGCCATTTTTGCCTAAAAAATCATCGCCAAATTGAGAAATATTAAAACCTAATGATTGTTTCTAAGAAACGAACTTTCGATCTTATGCAAACTTGGAATGAAACAAATAATCATTGACACCACAGATTAAGGTATGCGAACAATTATTTCGGCTATACTAATATCTGCATATTATTTAAATCTTACCATACATTTTTAAGTTCATCGATCATTAAGCCGTAGTATGGCTGTGCCAAAGGTGGATTATTGTCGTTTCGGTAATTTAGTTATAAATCTGGCCCGTAGTTTTAAGTATCGTAAATAATCATTATATTTTATGATTGCTTTTTGTTTCCTTGCTTATTTCCTTGATCAGTTCACAGAATTTTGTTTCCACACTATACAATTTTAAGTTGGTATGATTCTTCAAAGATAATTTATGTTAAAATTGGATAACCATCTGCATTCCTGATAAAAATTGAATATCGAGGTGAACATGGGAACTGGGGCGAGAACGACGCTGCATTCCAAATGTCCGCGATTTCTAGCGATGTTTGATAGATAGTTAGTGTTAATTTAAGTTCTCAGAAACCAAACCTGTTTTTGCATTAAATTATACTGGATTCCTTTTTTATGACCTGGCCATGAGAAGTGCACTTTGGCATTTAGCATCTTATTTTTTTTAAATGTCTTCAAATCATAACAGTTTTTAAATCATTTAGGTGTACACCAGTTGCACATATTTAAACTTCGCATTTTTGGGTTTTATGCAGCGGATATCAGAACGTTCAAATATTTTAATGTATCTTCTTTCAAGTTATGATAATTTTGGTAACACATAATGTTATATTGCAATACACGTGTAGGAAATTCATTCTAAACTAGCCTATTGCTTCTAGTTGTTTTTTTGTGCATCATGCATTTTACGTTTTTGTTGTCAAAACTATAGAACAGGTTATACAGTATAACATCTTATTATGTAGCACACAGTGAGATACTGAAAAATACACAGTGAGATATTATCCATATCTTTACTAGTGAAAATATCGATTACGTGACTTTTAGTATTTACACAATTTTTTGCTTGGGACTATACAGGGTGTATAAAAAAAAAACTGAACAGATTTGAAATTTCTCTCAATTTCGCCAAACACCTATTTGTATCCGGTTTTTTATATATATAGCTTCTTTGGGTAAGGTAGAATAATGGAAAAAAATTCTCAAATTCAAAATTTTTCCAACAAAACTAAAAATGGCTGGCGCACAAAATTTAAAAGTTTTAATCATATTTTGAGTTAATAGATGGAAACTTTGTTGGGTTTTTAATTACTGTACAAAATTTCAGACAATTTGGTTTAGTTATTCATATTATTCTAAAAAATCAGCCTTTCACATGCTTAATTAATGCCTTTACCTAATTTGCATATTGCTAACATATGCAAATTAGGCAAAGGCATTAATTAAGCATGCAAATAG